CCCCATCCCCCCTCCGCCCCTCCGCCAAATCGCTCTTTCCCCACTCACCTCCCTGCTTCCACTTCTCTGCTACCTCTCGCTTCAAGTGAACACGTTAAACGTGCACCGGCTCCGAGGAGTCCGGAGAACTGATGTCGGTTTGCCCAACGCAACGCAGACCTGCCGAACAATGCATTTGATGTCATTGACGTAACAGTAACAGGGGTCACGGTTAACGACACTAGTCGGTGCGAGAGAGACAGACTTATAGGTGACCCAGTAGAGTGAGAGAGCGTAATGACTACAAATTCTAATCTAGCTAGACTAGAAAACTTCACGGATGTTTGCGGAAAGGTTAGGAAATCGGCACTTACTGCTGTTTAAAGATATCTGAAGGCTTGGCTCAGCTCTTACTCACAACAAGACACAAAACACTAACACTCGGGACTCGATTCAACCCATTTAAACCAATTTAAACTTACTCTAACCTCCGCTGTCCCGCTGTCGTCCACCGTCCTCCGACGTTTGCAACTGCAATCCAACTGCGCAGCGGTGAGCTACGGTGGCGCGCCCCTCCGAAGTGGCGACTTTGTCAACTCGCTCCAGCAGACGAAACCCTCCGGCAGTTGGCGCGTTATCTAGCCCTGTCCAGCCGCACTCTTTTAATAAACACATTAGTCTAGTATTCTTTCCGTGTGTGTTGGGTGGTGTGTCTGTGTGTGTGTGGGGGGGGGGGCAGTTCCGTCGTTTTGGAAAGCGATCCTAATAGTCCCTGACCACGCCACGCCACGCGACGGCATCAGCGGACCGAGTCGAGTCCTCGCTCAGAGGGTAAATTAATGGTCATTCGTTTTGCTGATTGAGTGCCAGGTGTGTAAAAAAAAATTGTGGTTGAAAAAAGATCAGCGGTCATAAGCATGTAACATTATATGTAATTCGAATCACACAGACAGCACTGCGCATATTTGAGTACTTCGGACATAGAATAAACATCTGTAAAAACTAATGAATGGCGCTATATGGTAACCAAAAGACAAGAATATAATATTGAGATAATGACTCCATGAAGTGGCGGGCGTCTTAGATCAGCACCGTTACAAGAACAAGAAAAACAACAAATTCATCACATAGTATTTTGTAAGTAATAATTACTTAACATATGAATGATTCACATAAATAATATTGACATATTGCACAATACAAGCACATTAATACCCTTTCAAATTAATTATTTAATTTATTAGGAACAGGCAGTCAAAACTGCCTAACTTGACTTGAACACGAGTCAATTTTAGCTAAAGCAAAAACGACACTATAAGGAATATTTTAATATCACAGCTCCTTTGTGTTCACTGGACAGGAGGTAACATTTCTTTTCTGATCAAGTTACACAATAATAGACATCTTAAACTCCTTCCAAAAATTGACCATTTATAACCCTATTACAGGGGCCACAAGTTGCAGTGGTCTTTTTTCAGACATGGCACATTTTCCTCTCCAGGTCGGACACGAGGTCCAACATTTTGAGATGCAGTTCAGTCCGCGCTGGAGGCGGGGACGGCTGGCCCCTTGGCGTACACGGGCGAAGGGCTCGGAAGACTTTTGGGGGGCTGGGGCGGCTGGTAGAACAGCGAGCCCTGGTACGCGGGCGGGGGGTGGCCCGGGTGTCCGGAGGGGTGGCCGCCGGGGTGGCCGGGGCCGCCCGCCGAAGAGTCCGTGTCCACGAGTCTGTGGTAGCCGAGCGGGGCCAAGGGGTGGGGGTGGGACAGGTGCGGAGGGGGCGGGTGCGACCCAGGGTGCAGCGGGTGCGACGGGTGGCCCGGCTGGCTGCCGTGCGAGGGCGAGGACTCGTGGTACAGGATGGGGACCCGCACGATCCGCTGAGCGGCCGCGGCCGCCGCATGGGCGGAGGCCATGTTCGCCATGCTGGCCATGTTGGCCATGTTGGCGGCCTCCAGCTCGGCGGCCAACTGCCGCTTCCACTTGTTGCGCCTGTTCTGGAACCAGATCTTGACTTGCGTCTCGGTGAGGTGCAGCGAGGCGGCCAGCCCCGCGCGCTCGGACGAGGACAGGTAGCGCTTGAGGTCGAACGTGGACTCGAGCTGGAACACCTGCGAGCGCGAGAACACGGTGCGCGTCTTCTTCTTCCTCGCCTTCAGGTTGCTTCCACCTCCAGAGCCGGAGCTCCCCCTCGCGTTGTCGCCCTGACTGCCGCTGCCCTTGTCGTCAAAGTCGTCATCCTCCTCCATGACGTCATCGTCGTCTATGGCTATGTGCTCGTCGTCGTCGTCCATGTCTGCGGAGGCGGGGCTGGCGGGCCGGGCTGCGGGGGGCATGGCGTCGTGGCCGCCGGGGGTGGGGCTGGAGGCGGGGCTGGCGGAGGGCCGCGGCTGCGACGGCGGCTGCGGGCTGGGCGGCAGGAAGGGGTAGCCCGGGTAGCGGAAGGACAGCACCATCGGGGACGTCCTCCGCAGGAAGTCCTCGTGGAACAGCGAGGCAGCACTGGTTGGCGGTCGCGCGCTGGTCTCTGTGGACAGAAAGGCACACAAGGTCAGCTTCGTGCTCTTTGAGGGGAGGTTTCCGAGTTGGCTTTCAGCGTCAACACAATACTATGTAGTACTCACGGTAGTTGGGCGAGGGCGTCCTGGCGGGCGAGTGCGGGCTGCCGGAGCGGGGCGAGCGCGCGGGCGAGCGGGGCGGCGACCTGGACGGCGAGCGGCCGGGGCTGCGGCCGGGGCTGCTGCACCTCTCATCGGCCGTGGAGCCTGCTGCAACACAACAAAACAGCGTCGAAAATCAGAACAGGCCGGGGTAACAAACAAACCACTGAGCACTAAACGGGACAGCCCCGCCCCAGTCCGCCCCTCACCCAAACCACGGGAATGCTATTCGCTGCGAAAATCATTGCCCAACCGCACGCATCGTCCCCTACCACCCCCGCGCGGGGCCAACCCACCCCGCCCGCCCCGCGAAACACGGCGAGGGCCGTTACCACGCGGTTGTCAAATAAATCCTCATCACCTTTTTTTACGGGATGGCGTTGGCACGCGTTCGCATCCGAGCTGCTGTGCGGGCGGTGTGCTACAACGGGGGTGAGCAGAGGGTAGGAGGGCGTCTGTGTTTGCAGCCCGCTGACGGCCGATGACAGTGTGCCTTACTCAGGTAAGATTTGGAGAGGGAAAGGAAATTTCGATTCATGAACTCTGGAAGTTTAATCACATCACTTGGTATATTGAGCCGTGAGGCAATTCGACTGTGAGCTGGGAGGCTAGAGTTGGTCACGATGAAGATGGAGGTCTGGAGGGTGGGGGATGTCCGCAGGGGCGGCAGCCGGAACAGGATAGAGTCACTGCGCCTCTGGGACGAGAGTAAAAGCGCCCGCGCCACGCCTCAAATATTGGGATTGATTTATCTTTCGTCGCGTTTTTGTTGTGTTGGAAGTTATCCGGCGGGCGTTGCTGGACGACCCCCCAGGGCGGGGAACACACGCGTACACGCACACTAACACACCCGGAGAGCGGGAGGGGACTGGGGG